GTTTGTTCTTGAGAATTTTGAATTTAATGGGAGCCCCAAAGCAGAAGTGGACAGCTGAAGAAGAAGCAGCTCTTAAAGCTGGAGTAATCAAACATGGAACTGGAAAATGGCGTACCATTCTCTCTGATTCTGAGTATGGCACAATTCTCAAGTCTCGCTCTAATGTGGATCTCAAGGTAAAAACCCTAAACACAAAAACAAGAACTTGAAAATGGATCTGTAGAAACTCACATTGTTCGTCTTTAAACAGGATAAATGGAGGAATATAAGTGTAACAGCTTTATGGGGATCTAGGAAGAAGGCTAAGCTTGCCCTTAAAAGGACTCCTTTGTCCGGTCCTAAGCCGGATGATAACACTACAGCTCTTACCATTGTGTCTCTTGCTAACGGTGGTAATGGAGGTCAACAGTTTGATGCAATATCTCCTCCTCCTGCAGCTTCTTGTGAACCAACAAGAGTTTTTAAAGGACCCTTTACAAGGTTTGGCTTTTTCTTTTACTGTATGTAAATATGGAAAGTTTGAGGCTTACTTTAGTTTAGTCTAAGTTGCTTGGAAGGAAGATCTTGAGCTCTGATATGTTTGTTGTAGTGTGGATAAGATTATATTGGAGGCAATTACCAACCTGAAGAGACCGTATGGTCCTGAGGGAAAGTCGATCTTGCTGTATATAGAGGTACTCTTATGTATTCCTTGTATGTTTATTTTGTTGAGTCTGTATATAATTAGGTTTTGCTGCATTTACTCAATCATCAAGGACTTGAGTTTTCAGGAGAATTTCAAGATGCAACCGGATATGAAACGTCTTGTGACTTCAAGACTTAAGTATTTGACAAATGTTGGAACATTAGTTAAGGTAAAAAAGAGATACTTTGGTTGCAAACAAATCATATTTTCATTATTACTTAAACAATGTTTTCTTGTGTTTGTTCTTGCCTTTCAGAGAAAGCACAGATACAGGATTTCTCCAAACTATATGGCTGCGGGAGCAAAACAAAGGTCTCCTCAACTCTTTCTGGAAGGAAACAAAGAAAATTCTCCAAAACCCGAGGAGAATGGCGTAAAAACTCTGAGTAAACCTCAAGTAGATGGAGAATTATTTATGATAAACGGCATGACAGTACAAGAAGCTGCTGCAGCTGCTGCAAGAGCTGTG